GCCCCCACCCCACAGCTGGGGACAGGGCGTAGGGCCTGGGGTTGGGGAGGACGGCAGCACCTCCGCCTGAACCATCCGCCCAGAGCCTTCAGGCAGCTCAGAGCACCTGCCCAGGCCTGTTCCTAGAGACACGTGGCAAGAATGCCGCCAACTGGCACGGGGTAGGTGCCCCGGGCTGGAGCCCTCACCCTCCTGAGCCTGTGTCCTCTCCCAAATGTGGGTGATGACCTGACCCCACAGGGCTGTGCTGACGGCTAGATGTGGTCACAGCTGGTGCCAGGGACCAGGCAGAGACATCAGACAGGCAAGGCCTGGGCCCTGAGTCTTGGTCTGAAATCTTCCTGAACCAAGCCAGGACTCAGGGAGGAGGGTCTGGCTTATAGGAGAGCTGACCAACCTCTCACCACCTGGGCGTGTCCAGGCCTGGGCCCGAGTTGATACCGGCATGGCCTTGGGTGAGCCCCTCTCCTGGCCTGTCTCCCTGTCCAGGACCAGCCAGGCTGACACCTGCCCCCCGTGCACGTGGGTGGCCTAGCACAGGCCCGGAGCACCCACACACCCTCTGCTCTCCTCGCGGCTCCGAAGCCCACCTGCCGCCTGGCGGGAGTGTCCTCAGTCCCTCTCCTGGGAGGCCTCAGTGGCCCTGCAGCCCTGTCCACCACGGGCTCACGCTGTCCCTTATTAGGACCGGCATGGAACCAGTCTACCAAGACCGGCCTGCCTTGTCTTCTGGACTCACCTACCCCTGGATGGGGCATCTGTCCATGACTCCTGGGGGACCTGGCCCAGCATGGTGCTGGGGACACGCCAGGGGCTGCTCTTAGGGTCGGCCAGCAGGACACAGCTGGTCCATCCTCCGTGTACACCCCGGGCAGGGCTGCCTGATTCACGCCCCTGGAACAGCCCTCTCTAGCAGGGCAGGAGCGGCAGGCCTTCACCGGACAGGCTCCCGGGACCAGCTCAGGGTGAGGCCCGGCCACATGGAAGGCCGAGTCACTGGCAGCAGTCGGGGTGGAGGCAGGGCGGCCCCGGAGAAGGCGCAGGAGGCGATCCAGTTAAGAGGAGCTCTAACCCGGCCTAAGCAGTGGAGTCTATGACCAGAAGGCAGCTGGTGGCCCATAAGGGCCTGCCCTCGAGGCCCCATTTCAGGCCTCCAGGCTGGGGTGGCACGAGGCTTCCAGAGGACACAGAGCCCAGGACTGTTCAGCAGTTAATGCCACCGGCTTTGGAGTCAACAGACTGGGCTCTAGACCTCAGAGCTCCACGTGGGCCGAGGCCCCTGAAGAAAGCTGTGGGGCTTCTCGGCCTCAGTTACTTTTCTGTGAAGCAGGTCTGCAAAGATCCCTCCTCATCTGCTGTACCAGCTAGACAGTCACGCGGAGGGACCCACGCTGAGGGCTCCCAAGTTCCAGACACCACTGCCTGCAGGCCCTCCAGGGGCCTCTAGGGCGGGGGGGCAGAAGGGAGGACATGCCTGAGGCAGCCGCAGAGTGCCTGGCGTCCGCATGCACCCCTCCTACAGCCTTCCGGTGGTCGTGACTATTCCCGTTGTCACACGTGAAGAAACAGAGGCACAGAGAAGCCAGGTCGGGGGTGGTGGCGGCGGGGAGGCTGACGCGGCAGGGCTGGCCTCTGAGCCCAGGCCCATGGAGGACGTCCCGCCCCTCGGAGGAGCACGCGGCGTGTCCGGCACCAGCAAGGGCCAGGCCGCCACATCGTGCAGGTGGCCCCCCTACTTGTGGTTCTCCCCACAGCGGGGGGGGGGGGGCGTATCCTGCCCTCACACTGGGGATGATGAAACCTCAGCTGCTCTAGTGGTGAAGGGACAGCAGCAGCTGGAGGCCACGGACCACCCTGGGGCCCCAAGCCAGGCACACGGGGGCCTCTGCCCTCTGAACAGGCAGCGTGCGCACAACCGTCTGGTGTGGGGCCGGGCTGTATGCAGACGGCCTGCGAGAGCCTCACGGCCGAGGGACAGACTCGGAGGGCTCTCAGCCTCGGGCAGGACGGCGCAGAGAAGCAGCGGTTTCTGCTGGGCGGCTAAGGGGTGGTCCTCGGTGGGGAATCCACAGGCAGCCGGGGTCCAGGAGCAGAGGGGCTGCCCACCAGTCCGTGTTGCACTGACAGGCCCACGCTCCCCTCTGACCTCCATCCCCAAAGTCCAGGCCCCTTCTCCTGTGCCCAGGCCCTCCGTCTCCCACTGCCCACCCACCAGGGCTGGCCTACAGCAGGCCGTGTGCGGGTCTCCAGCAAGTTGTGACTGAGAACCTACTTTGTGCCAGGAACCGCGCCAGGCTCCGTGGCTACTAGATAACAGCACAGACAGAGGTGGCCTCTGCCCCCAGGGCCTCAGCGAAGGGCCAGAGAGACACACGGCAAACCGTGTCAAGTGTCAGGAGGCCGAGCAGATGCTCAGGAGACATCTGGGGACCAGAAGCCACCCCACAGGCAGACAGAAGATGGCCGGCCCGTGTGCGTGCGCGCGTGTGTGCGCGCGTGTGTGCGTGTGCACGCGCGTGTGTGCATGTGCGTGCGTGAGATGCAGCCCGGGGCTGGGCTTTTCCCCAGTGTTGCAGAGGGAGCCAGCTAGAGAGGTAGTTCCCCCTCACCTTCCACACAGCGCTCTGGCCGGAGGGAGGGCTACCTGCGCTGTGCAGCCCGTAAGAGGGGATGTGACCATCGTCCTCATCACGGCCACGCCTGGCTGTCCATCCAAAACGCTACACACAGTCACGAGCGGGAGCCCCGTGCGCACTGATGGTCCCTCCTTCGTGACCACACACCATTTCTGCTCTCCCGGGCAGCACAGGCCGGAAAGCCCACCCAAAGACCCAGGGCCGCCCTCCCTCCCTTCCAACGACTAGCAAGCGTTGAGTCTCTACCCCACCAGCCAGCCCAGGCGTCCACCCCGGGGGCTCCCCAGGCTGGAGAAGTCTGCCTGCCGGCTGGCAGGACAGGAGACCAAAGGCCCGGATCCCCGAGAGCAGCGTGTCACCACGGGGCCACCAGAGGGCGCCCGTTCCACGGAGCCCGGCCAAGTTGCTCGAGCAGGAGAGGACAGGACTGGCCGCTGCCTTGGGAGGTCACCCTGTTTCCTTCACCCCACGTGGCACCGGCACTCTCCTCGGGGCCTGGGCGCTGCAGGGCACTCTCCAGTTCAGGTGCTTACGGGGGAGGCTGAAGCCATAGGGGGTCGGGGAGAGCAGCTTCCCAGAAGCCCCTGGACCTGGGACGGAGAAGCCACGGGCACTGGTCAGGAGGGGGCGCAGTCCAGGCCCCGGGGGGGCAGCACCTGAAGCCCTGGCTGGCACGGTGCTTGGACAGCTGCTGGGCGGCCGCACCACGCCCCCCCCCCCCCGGTCATGTGCACAGCAAGGCACTCTGCTGGTCCCGGGTCCCCAACCCACTGCAGCCCCAGCCCAAGGAGGCCAAGACCCAGCCCCCCGCCGGCCCCGCCTCACCTTCTCCAGCCTGCCCTGCTCTCTCCTAGCCCTCGACGGCTGCCCAGACTCTGCCACTCTGTCTCTCAGCCTAACTGGGACAGAGGCCTGTGGATGCGATCAAGTTTAGGATGGTCCCGAGGACACAGCGGCCGAGTGGGAGTGGACGTGTGAAGGAGAGCTGTGGGGCGAGGGGACCTTGGAGTGCCGTCTAAGATCGGGGCTGGGTGAGGGCAGCTGCTCAGCTGCCCTGAGACCCTGGTGTCCAGGGGAAGGGATTCAACCGAAAGGCCAGGGATTCCCGGGCATTAGCTCCTCTGTTTGCACGGCGGGTGGCGGGGCTTATGAACCAACGTGTGCTGGCCCCAGGCACCCAGATGTGCCCCCCAAAACCTGTCCCCTAGGGAGGGTGGCAGCCCTGACAATGACAGGGCTTTGCCAGCAGACAGAGGCACAGGAAGGCCTACCTTGGGGGACTTGAACCCGGGGCAGGGGGCTGTCAAGGTATCAAGGCAGAGGCTTCTGTGGGTCCTGCCCTGCTGGGGGCCAGGGTCCAGGGCCTGGCTGCCCCCTCCCATTCCCCAGCAAGACACGGCCATGGACTTGCCCCTCACACTCCTCTCTCGCTCAGAACTCCTGTGGCTGTGGTCATTCCATGTCCCCCGTGTCACTACTCGAATGCCCCCTCCCCACCCCCGCCCCAGTTTGGGAGGAGTTCCCCAGGGCAGGAAGCTGGTCTGCTCCGCTCTCATCCACCGTGTCCCAGGCCCCCTGAACAGACGCGCAGACCCACGGTGGTTCTGGACACATTCGCAGTTGGAGGAAAAAGCCTGGGGGGTGTCTGTGAAATCCTTAGACCTCCACCCTCACTCCAGTCCCCAGAGCTCCTTAGAGGCCTGCAGGGAGGGTGTGGGCAGGACTGCGGGCAGCTGCAGGCTGAGGCCGCCTGAGACGGCGATGCTCTTACAAAGAAATGACACGGCCCCTGGGCGGGATCCAAGGCGCCGACCACCTGCAGCTGGACTCCCCGCCCGAGGCGGCCCTGAGTGCCGGGCGAGCACAAGTTCCCCGGGCAGGAATCCCTGCGAGGTGATGTTCCCTTCCCGGTGGCAGAGGTCGAGCCTCTCCACCCTCGCCCCCGCCCCTCCCCGAGCGCACAGTTCGCTCCCGACCTCCCCGGGGCCCCTAGGCTGCCTCTGCCGGGGACCCCCGGGAATCCCCGGGCCGACCCGAGGCGCCTCCCGGAGAGGGCCGCACAGCCGGTGGGAGTCCCCAGCCCATGGCCGCCGTCGGCTGCGCCCCGACAGCCGGCCCCGCAGCTCAGCCCTGCCTGTCCCGGAGGACGCACCGAGCCGGGGACCGCCCGGTCCGCCGCCCGGCGAGGAGAGCTCCGCCGGGAAGGGGCCGGTGTGCGTGTTGGGGGCCGGGGGCGGCCGAGCGGAGCAGAGGAGACCCGGGCGGAGGGAGGGCGGCTCGGGGCGCGGAGGCGCAGGGCGGACGAGGGCAGAACGGGAGAGAAAAGGGGGCGCAGGGGAGACCCGGGAGCGCCGGGTCACTCACCCGAGATCTCCGCCTGGGGCACGTCGCTCAGGCTGAAGCCCTTGGTCCCGTAGATGTGGCGGACTTCGCCGCAGCTCCGACTCTTGCTGGCAGGGTCCCCGTGGGCGCAGGCGGCCAGTGCGACGGCCACGCACAGCAGCCACCAGCCTCGGGCCCGGAGCTCCATGGCGGGGCCGGCGGCGCCCCCGGCCGGGCCCGTGCAGCCCCCGCCCGCGAAGGGCAGAGCCAAGGTCCCGGCGCACTCGGCTCGCGGTCCGGAGGCGCCGGCGGCAGGGGAGGCGGAGACAACAAAAGCCGGCGGCGGTTGGGCGCGGGGCGCGCAGGGCGCGAGGTCCGGCCGCTCTCTCCGGCGGCCCAGAGCGCGGCAGGCGAGCGCGCAGTCCCGGCCCGGCCCCTCGGCGGCCCGGGAGAGGGGCGGGGAGGGGCGCGCGGGGCGGGGCGCGCAGGGGCGGGGCGGGGCGCGGCGCGGGGGCGCGATCCGAGGCGCACGGGGCGCCCGTCCTGCTCCCGGGGCCGCCCGGCTCGCGCGGATCTGTTGACTGCTGGAGGGAAGCGGGGTGGCCCGGAGCGCGCGGGCCGTGTCCGGGGTCCCCGAGGGCGGGCCCTCCACTCCCAGCGCCCGGGGCGGCGGCACCACCTGTGGGGGCGGGGGCGGGGGTGCTGAGGCAGGGCTTCCCCCGCCGGACGTGACATCACGCCTTCCGCGCGCCTATCAGGGGCTTCCCCGCCCCCAGCCGAAGTCGGCATCCCTCCCGTTTTCTCTCTCCTCGGATCAGGCCGTGCCTTCCTGCACCCTGGCCGCGTGCCTCGCGCGTCCGCTTCCACAGCCTTGGTCCCCTTTGTCCCCCGCCCGCACCTGGCCTGCACGCCTTTACGGCCCCTCGCCCCGCGCCCATTTCAGCCTCCTCTCCCGCGGCTCCAGCTCACACTTGATTTTTAATGTGGAGGAGAGTGGGGGGCTGTACGTGGGAAACTAGCCAAGAGTCTAGACCTCGCGCGCGCCCGTTCCTGCGTAGAGGCAAAACCAACGAGTTAGTTGTTGGAGCTCGTCAGCGGGTTTTGTGTCCCCTCCACGTGATGGTTTGGATGCTCGAGAAGCGAGCGAGGGGGGCAGAAGCTTGTCCGTTGGCTTGGGCCGCTGGGCGGTGGCAGGTGACCTCTTGGGGAAGGGATGGCGTCGGGCCGACAACAGGTCAGATCGCTGGGGGCTGAGGAGAGCGTGACAGTGAGTGAGGCGGCGGGGGACCGTGCAGGGCGGGTGGACAGTGCTGGTAGCCGCAGAGGATGGGGATGCGGGCCGCGGGAAGTGAGGTGAGCGACCGGGGCGGGCGGACGGGAGCTGAGGGCGCCTCCGTTTCTTCCTTGCCGGCTGCTGCACTCCCCCACCCCGTTCCTGCTCTCCTGATACGTGTGCAAAGGCCCCAGAGACCACCAGGCCATGACCCCGGGTGCCTGATTGGTTGAAATGGGGCGAAATGCAGTAAATAGGCACCCTTGGAAGAGGACCCCAGGGTAACCACCCTGTGCCAATAAGGGTGCCCAGACCTCGAACCTGGGGGCTAATGGTTTCACCTCACGGCAGGGCAGGAAGGAGGGCCCCACGCCTCCCCTGGGGTTCCCTGAGTGCTGGGCTCAGCAGCCTCAGAGGGGCCTTGCAGCCTTCTACCCCCTCGCCCAGAGACACTGAGTCATCGTGTGAGAGGGGCTGGGAGGCCCCTACCCCAGCGTGCTGGCCCCGGCCCTGCTCACGCACCTGCCGCCCGGTCCCGCTGGTGACTCCCAGATCCCGTGCAGCGCTCAGGCCAGCCCGTCCCTGCTTGCCCGTGCCCGGTGCAGCTGCCTGGATGCCTCCCCCGTGCCCGCCGGGCCCCTGCCCCCGCCTTCTCTTTAGGAGCTCGCCTCCAGCCACGTGCTTCCGGGTCAGGCAGGAGCCAGACGGCCGGAGGCTCGATGGAGTCACACACGCTTACTGCGTTGTTATGCGGGTCTGTCGCCTCCTCTTAATCTGGCCAGACGGGGAGATTTCTCAGGGTGGCGTCGGCGTCCAGTGCGTTTCTGGGCCTCCAGACAGGGGTGTGGCCAGAATGTCCACGTGCCGTGCTCGCGTGGCCAGTTTTCAGGACATGGTGGTCACGGGCACGGCCCCTACACACGCCCCTCCCAGGTGTACGATGACTCCATCCCCTAGAGAAATCCTCACCGCTGCCTGCAAGGTCCCTGTGTCATTCCCCTCCAGAGGTCACGACCCTCGCGGCCAGGGCCCTTCCCCAAGTGTCCCCTAGTGAGGAGACACGCCCCCAGCTGGATCCGAGCTCTCATTTCCCTGACGTCGAGGGGAGGCGGGTAAGTGAGGGGCGCAGTGTCCCTTTGGAGAATGGCTGTAAGGAGAACTGGGAGTGGCAGCCGGGCACCCTCCCCTCCCCGGGGGTGCGGGGCTCTGGCTGTGTTCCTCTTGGTCTCCTCCACGTCGGGTGGCTTCGTGGGTGCTCAGCCTCTGTGCACTTGAGGGGGCCGAGGGGAGGCCAGGGGCCAGGCTGGGGCGGAGATTCTTCCCAGGGCACAGGCGTGCCTCCCCACCAGGTGCAGTTTCTTGCCAGTTTTCCATCATCAGGACACTTGATGACTGAAAGTGACAGAAGGCCTCCGTGAGGAAAGGAGATGCATCGTCGTGGTATCCGGCCCTGGCTGGCTCCCTGGTCCTGTCCCGGAGCGAACGGAACAGACCCGAGTTCAAATCCCGGCCCTCCCACTTGTCCGCAGCGTGATTCTGGACGTGGCACTCAGCTCAGTTTCCTTGTTTCCTCTGTGAGGATCTAGGAGGGAGGTCTGTGCCTGTGCGGGGGGGATGCTGCTGCTGTGGCCCAGCGTGGACCCAGCTCCTGGGGGCCCATTCTCAGGGCCTGGGAGGAGGCAGTAATGAAGGCCCTGCCACGGTGTTGGCCTGTGGCCCAGTGGGATGCCAGGCGGGACCATCCTTCCGGCTCTGGAGGGCCCGGCGCCTGCCAGAGGGCCTTGCTGACAAGGAGCTGGAAGGCCGGGTGCGGAGGCAGCTGACTGCTAGGTGGTCACGGCTCGAGGCGGCTCCGCCAGGTCACGGGGCTTCGGGGACCTGGAGAGGAGATGCCTGTGCACCTGCAGTGTTCCTTCACCTCTTCCATCCAGTTGCCCGGCCCGCAGAGCCCCCTTCCTTGCTGCCCCGCCCAGGGGAGTGCTTATGTTGTACAGACGTGGACACTGTTACTGGGCGAGGGAAGGGGCCCGTCCCAGGTCGTGAAGCCCAGATGAGCTGCCCCAGTGCCAGCTGCCGGGACTCCGCCGTTCCTGAGGCACAGCTGCCTCTGCCAGGCCCCCGCTTACTGCCCCGGCCCTGCCGTTCAGATCTAGTGCCCGTCCGGGGCAGCCCAGGGTGAGGGATCCCCACACCGCCTGGGCTTCGGGAGCCAGGGCCGGGTCACACTGGGGAGGGCCTCGTGAGCCCACACGTGGCTGCTGTGGCTCCAGCCAAGACCACCACCTCCTGCTTTGGGGCCCTGGTCTGCCAGGCGTGCGGGCACAGACGTGCAATGGAAGGAAGGGAGGAAGGTGTGAGTGGTTTACTCGTGAAAAGGAAGTGGCATCGTCCCTGAACGAGTGGGTGTGTGGTGGACTTGCCCTGTGCTTACACCAAGGGAGGGCTGACAAGAAAGGGACCATTTAGAGTCATCTCGGAAGGGGGCCTGTGCTCTCCCACGTCTCCGTCTTCTCGAGGAGTGACCCCGAGTCCTGAAGGGCAGCACCCTGCCCCCCACTTCCTTTCTCCGGCCAGGGCGGGGTCAGGGCATGGTGGGCCCCGGCTGCTCAGAGGACGGGGAGTGAGCGGGTTGCCGGATCCACACATTAGGGCTGCCGGCCCGCTGGCCTCCACCTCTGGATCCCCACGGGCCCGTGCTCCCCTTCCCCAGCTACTGCGGAGCAACAGGGGAGCCCCCAGAGCAAGTTTTCCGATAGACTGAGCAATTCCATCCACGTGTCTGCTGACGACCGCCACTGCCAGCCGTGTCCCTGACGAGGGCCCCATCTTGTTGGCAGTAAGGCACGGGGTCAGAGGGCACTGGGCAGGACAGCTAGGCTGCCACACCCTGACCCACGGGGGCCCCGGAGGTGTTGTGATGCCCTGGGAGTCAGTGGAGGACACAGGGTCCGCCCGCCTCTGTAGGGCACGGGGGCCCCAGGCAGCAGCCTGAGAGAGGACGTAGATGCCACGGGGTGTGGCTGATAGAGGGGAGTGTGACACTGGCTGAGCAGGGGCTCCGCCAGGCGGGGCGTCTGCAGACGGAATCAGGGTCCCTGACAGAGCCCCCAGAGCCTGGGGGTGGGAGGGGGAGCCACCCTGTGGGCCTCGTGGATGCCACTGGCTTCCTGCAGCTCCTTGCCTCTGTGGGGAGGTGGGAGAACACTCAGAGTCCCTCACTCGTCAGCTCGGGAATGTGTCTTTGTCCTTATACAGGGTCTCGGCCCAAGGCCACCCCGGGATCGCCCCAGTGTGGAGACCCAAAGTTGGCCCCAGCTCTGCCCAGACACTCAGTGGGACTCTGGAGGCCCCCCAGACGCGGGCCTCGTCCCCACCCCCCAGAAGACTGACTCTGCTCTGAGACCGAGCTGCTCCCCAAGCCGGGGCAGGGGCTGCCTCGGGAGGAGACCCTTGCTGAGCACCGTGGGGTCAGCAGGTCAGACGAAACACGGGTTCTCTTGTTCCGCAAGGTGGTCCTACCTGTCCCCCTGCCCGGCTCAGACTTTAAGGCACACTTGTTGGCAGCCTGCTCAGCTCTGCGGGGCCCTTTGATCCGCCAGCAGCCTGGGCAGGCCTCTCGTGCACGCGGGGCTCGCTGGGGAGGAGCTGCGCGGGTGGGGCGGCCGAGTCTGGGGTCTGCGCACCCACTGGAGGAGAAGGCCCCACCCTCAGCCCTGGGCCCGCCTGGCGCACGCTTCCCTGTGCCGCCTTCCTCGCCCCAGCTCCTTGGCCCGTCCCCGGGGAAGGGGTAAGCCTGACGTGTTGGGGCGAAGCTCTCCCGGCCCAGGCCACCGGAAGCTTGCTGCGTTCCGGCTGGGCTGGCTGGCTCCCTCCCTGCCTGGTTCCGTGGGCCCCTCCGCACCTCTTCCCTCCTGGACCATCGCTGGCTTCTCATCTTTTCTCTCTCCAGTCCATATGGCCGGGCTGCTGGTTCTAGAACCAGCTTCTACCCAAAGCCCGCAAAGACTCTGCCTGCAGGGTGATGCCAGAGAGCCCCCGGCCATGCACTTTGCGGCTGACCGCTGACCGTCACGTTAAACCAAGCCAGGCCGCACCCTCCGCCCCAGACAAGCCTGGCTCTTCACTCCCGGAATCTTCCACTCGTCTTGGGGCAGGTCTGAGGTTGCTTCCAGCCCCAGAGGTTTGGGGCCGAGGACATATGTGTCCACGCAGATGCAGCACCTGAGACCTCGCGGAACCTCAAGGGAAGTCGGTCTTCCGCACTTGAGGCCTTCCAGCATTCCTTCATCACCCGGAGAGCCCTTGGGCTGGGTCCCCAAAGCAAAGAGCAGTTTCCAGGGCTCGGTC